TCACCTCTATCACATCTACTTTACACAACCTCTTTTCTCTTTGGATAGCATCTATTTTGTTCTGAATATTGGACAGCAGAGGCTTTTCTTTGGGCTTTTACAGCTGTGTGCATTATTTATAGCTTATAGGAAGCAGTTATGAAACAACTTGGGTAGGATACAACTAGTTTATTTGTGGTTCTTCTGTAGGTATTGTGAATTAGCTTGTGCATTTTTGAAGCAAAAAAAAAGTCATCTTTCAAGGGATAATAGTGAATGCAGGAGCACTGTGACCATAGATAGCTGTGACTTCCTACCTACTTGAGCTTGAAACTTCTTTGATCTTTTGGTGATTGGTACCTATGAAGTCTGTCTGCTCTCCTTTCCTAAATACTGAATCAGTGTGTTCATTACTTGTTTTCTAATGGTAAATTACTTCATTTATGCTTTTCTTGTGTACACTTGGATGTCAAATCAGTCTCTCGAGCAGTCTGATTATACTGATTAGAATTAAATTGTTTGAAATAACTTTTTGTTCTTCTCATCTCAAAATCCATTCCATGTATTGACTGTAGTGCTAAAAAGCAACTTGGCATTATCTAATTAATTAATGCTTAATTTGCATCATCATACATGTTGATCAAGTCATATTTACAAAGCTCAAAAACATGAAATTAAAATGGAACAGTTTCCCCTATTAATAACTGAATAGCAAAGTGCTTTCTTGCACTTTTTCATGTTCAGGCCACAGAAGCTGGATATTTGTCAGTCACTAATGGATATAGCGTGTCTAGGTTCAAAGAGATGCCTAACTGAAAGTTCTTTTGCTACTTCTTCTTGAATTTGACTTCGTTACAAGTGTCCGTTAGATAAAACATAAAATGAAATTGATAATTGTGAATTTCCAATGTGAGCTTTCAAATCATAACTTTCATTCTAACTTCTTTGCTCTCTTACAGGCTTGTTAGATGCACTGCTTCTACTATGTGGCTTTTGGTTTTTCAGACTTACTGGAAGAAAAATTCAAGTCAGATTGCTTTTCCCCATTTATTTCCTCATTTCTTCCAGATCATGTTATCATTTTTACTTTTCCTAATTCAGTGACTTTTATCAGTCATTTAACTAAATGTTGGGATTTTTCTACTCTATGTTCTCTTAATATTCATAGTGTTGAAAGTGTAAAATCTAGTAGGAGGTTTACAGAAACATCTTTAAACAGGTTAGTGAAGTAGCTACAAGAACTATCCAGGAGTGTAAGCTCACTTGATAGTTGAACAAGAAACTCTTGACATTCCTTTATTTAGGATAATCTGAATTTAATAGTACATGTTCATCTGATTTAGGAGATTAAGAGCTGATGACACAGGTAGTATCTTGTCTGTGTTAAGGCTGAGTAGGCCTTAATTTTGAAGATCCTCAAAAAAGCAAAACTGGTTATTCAAAATACCTAAACACATAGTATCAGGCAGAGCACCAGGACAGTTAACTTGGAGAGGTGTAAGAGTTTTATCAGATGGTGTCATTAATCATAAATCAGAAACACAAAGTCAAAGCAAGAGCCTACTGGAGCTGACCCTGTCTTAGCAGGAGACTAAAAAGCTTTTTGATACACATTTAACTCTGGGGATTGTTTAACTTGCAGATAGCTATAGATTTACCTTCTTTCTTCTGTCACCTTTTAGCAGACTGAGACACATAATCTATTTTTGAGCCTGTTACTACACTGAGAGACAAATATGTGTTCTGCAGGACGTGGCTGTCCTGGCAAATGGACTTGAGTGTGGAAGAAGCACAGATGGAAGAGTCCAGTTCAGTCCTTATCTTCAGACAATACAACTAGTCTCTACATTCATTAACAATGTAGTTCCTCTTAAATATCCTAGCTGGCAGCTGATTTGGTTTACATCTCGCTTCTCCTTATTTTGTCTTGAAAGCAAATATTCAGACATTGAGGAATGAGGAAAAACTGCACAGGAGGACTGGTTTGAGTTGCCATGGCCAGTTGCCTCTAATTTTGACTAAAATTTGCGCACAGTACATGGTGGTCTCTCTGTCTGAAGCCCACAGTAAACTGACACTTCTCTTTAGCTTGTACAGCTGTAGTGGTACTTGAAGTTTGGACTGAAATTCTTTTCACCTAGAATTTACAAATTCATTTCTTCCTTGTAACCCACTTTGTACTTTCCCATCTCCTGTCAGACATAGCTCAGAACGAGAATCTGATGGGGTGTTTGGAATAACTGCTTCTACTATGTTTTATTAATGCTTGTCTGAATTTTCTGCAACTCGGCCATCTATGAACTGACAAACCCCTTAACAAGTGGTTAATATAAGCAGGAAGATGTGGTTCCTCAAACACCGATTACAGAAATCGGGTTTGATTTGAATTTACTTGCATTGCTTGTTCAAAGTCAACATTTGCCTTCCTTATTTTTTGTGAAGGTGATTTCTGACTCTCAATTATTGTTACAGTCTAATTGAACAACTAATCTTCAGGCATAATTTTAATGTCTAAGAAGTCTTGTCTTTTCTTAACCTTTCTAAATAAATAAATGAAGAAAATTTTTGTATTTTAGATGATGACCTAAGTAAAACAAAACTGAAGTAAATAGAATCTCATTCACAGATTCATCAAGGGTGAAAAGAACTTCTGGAGATAATGCAGATTTTCCTTCAGCAGGTTGCTCAGGACCATGTCCATTCAGACTCTTGAGTATCTCCAGAAATGGAGGCTTTACAACCCCTGTGATTGCCTGTTCCATATTTTGCCACTGTCATGGTGAAAGCTTTTCTTTAATTGTAAAGTCATAGAATAAAATTGCATTAATTATTTCAAACTTGTTCTGAATAAATTATTGGGGTTTTTGGGGCCACCTTCCTAGGCTAGTGCCCTAATATTTAGCAAGTTTAACTATTGGAGTGTCTCCAGAAGAATGGTCTTGAATTGAATCCTTTGTAACAGCTGTAAGCTCTTTATCTGTTGCAGTCTGGGTGTTCTTCATATGAAAAGCAGATCACATCGAGAGGGATAGGAGAAATAATTTCTTCCCATTTTTTCCTGTTGGATCTGGAATGAGTGAATGTTGTATTGGAAACATTCTGTAAGAAATAGCTTTCTCTTAGAGATTTTAACATCCTTTAAGGTTGTTTAAAAGGGCTTCTCAGGAGATGAATAACAAACACCTGAAATCAGCATTTCTCTATTAAGAGAAAGAGGTAACACTGAAATCAGTCATGCACAAAAAGAGAGATTCTTCTTTTTTGGAGATGCTGTTGGGAAGGGTTTCTGCAGACAGTGAGAGTGATGGAGGTGACAGGTATAGAAATTGCTCTACTGTAATCAAACTAATTAAAAAGACTTCTAGGATTAGAAACTTAGCAATATCTAGGTAGAGCTCTGAATGAATACAGAAATGCTTTGGGCTATTTCCATATGGAAACACGACAAACTGCTGAGGCTGAAGGCGTGAATATCTTGGAGTCTAATCTCCTGCTCAGAGCAGGGTTCTCTAGAGATGCTCAGTCCCCTATCTTGTTGGGGTTTGGATTCTCTGTTAATGGATTCTCTGTTAATGTTAACCTGTTCATGGATCCATCTAGACAATTTAAGTTTGCCTGTGGTATTCTGAGGAGGACATGAGAGAGAATGGAAGTTGCTTTGGGGAGTGGGGTGGTGGTGTCCTCTGACCTTGGTGCCATGATGGGCATAATAGGTGCAAAACTGTAAATGCTGGTGATGATGGGCTAGTTGGTAAACCCTCTTAAGGTATTTAATTAAGTGCAAAATTTCCTCTTGTTTTTTTTGCCTTACATACTATTAAATGCATACTCTATAGATACTATACAAGAATTTGACACAGCATGGCTTCCATTATATCTTTATTGGACAATAAATGTATCATCTGTGCTTTATGCAATGTTGTTTAGCTTTTATATTGTTGTGTACCCAAGCTAATCATGCTAACTAGCATTTTGTGAATTAGATACGTCAAATGCTTCCCTATGGCTTGTTGACTGATTTCTTTTGTTGTTGTTTTGGTATCTTAAACCCCAAAAACCTCACACCATCAAACAAAACCACCTCAGAGTATGGGAGTATTTCTAGAAAAAGATGTGCTAATAAAGGATAGTATTCTTGTTCAGTGTAACTTTTCACTATGTTAACATTTTCCACCTATTTGCATTCTTACACACTAAAAGTACTTACAAAACAGGATGCTAGTTAGGGACAGTATATACTGTAGGTTTTGAAGTTGTCTAAAGATGACTATTGCTAAACTCAAGTGCTTAGGTAAAATTAATGGTTAGAAAGGGGCTATTTTTCAGAGATAAAAACGAATTAATTTTAATAATTAAAAATGCTTGATGTCCATTTGTCATCTGAGTTTCCAGCACTAAAAGACCTGAAAATAATAGTGCAGAAATACTTTGGCTGATACTTAGTTCTTGATCAGATACTTTTACCTGTTCTCTTGAGTATTGAAACAGAACGAGCCTTTAAACTCGTTGTTACTGAAAGGCTATATGTAGTGTATCAATAACATGTATAGAATTTTTGGCTTCTAATTTTGCTCAAATTCTGACATTGAGTGACTTTCAAATGTATTTCATTTTCAAGCAGTAGTCCATAATTTTGCCACTACACTTTTTATGTTCAATAAAAAAGTTTGAGCAAGTAGTGGATTCCTGATGTCACTTCAAACTTGATACTTCTGCACATCCTCTTGTGTCTAACAGATCATAACACACTTCTGAACCTATTCTTCTTAGCAGTTTTTAAGTGTTTCATTAAACTGAACTCTTTTGTGTTGAACACAAAAACATAAGAAGCTACTTGAAATCTACCAATGTTAGTGGGAAAATTAGATGTTGTGACCCTTTGCAGTTTTGTTCTTTGAAGTGCATACTGTTCTTCAGTCTATGCAATGTTTGCTCAGAGTGTCTGTAGGTTTTAAACAGTTATTCATTGTGTAGCACTGCAGATGTAAAAGTCTAACCATGTCTTTTGTCTTTTTAACCAGGACAGAGCTTGGGTTATGGTTTTGTGAACTACGTTGACCCCAAGGATGCTGAAAAAGCTATCAATACCCTGAATGGATTGAGACTTCAAACTAAGACTATAAAGGTATGTAGTGTTAAAATAATGAAAAGGAACTGAACTATTCTGACTCCCTGATTTGTTCTACCTTTACAAGTGTAACAAGCATTCAGCAAATGTCAGTAGAATAAACTGGGATTTCCTGTAGTAAATGGTTCTTTGTAGTCTGTTTATATTTAGAGTTAGATTAAGTATAGAAAGTATAGAAAATGGCATTTTCTTAACTCACTTAACACTTTAGGTATACAGTTGAATTGTTTAAATCAAGAAATTGTTACATACTTTAGTTGAAGAAATGCAATATTGCATATTGTTTGAACACGGTGTGCTTCTTCATTTTCTCTAGGATGCTATAACTGCCTTATTAGTCCTTCAGGTTTAATGTTGCTAGTTGTCTTGTCCCTCTTACAAATCCTTAGAATGAAATGCTGAAATAACTATTGGTTATCTGTGAATTACTCTATTTCTAGGGCTCTGGTCTTTGTCTCTAACGTTTGGTTTTCTGGTCTTTTTCTGTCATGTAACAACTTCTCACACACTTGTTTACTAAATTGGGTTTCTCAAATTTCTAGAAACAAATGTTGAGAGTTATTTTTCTTATCTCCTCTTTTAATCCAGTAACAGAAGACTGAAGATACTCATTTGAGCAACTGAGCTCTGAAATTCTGAGAGAGAGGATATTAAATAAAACTATTACAACCTTTGTAATACTATTAGACCTTTGAACATGTTTTACAGGTGTTGGTGCCTGAAGATAGGGTATGTTCCAGCTAGCCTGTTCTTCCTCATTAAACAGCAGGGTTTGCTAGATGATCTCTTGGATAGTGGCTGCCTTCTAACTAGGAGCATGTTTGAGACATGAAACAAAGTTCACCCCTAAAAGCATGTGCACTTACAAACCAGTGCAGAGCCACTGAAAGACAGCTGAGACAAAAATAAGATAGCAGTAGTGTTTAGGCTGAAGTGTTTTACCTGTTCTGTATTTATATGATTTGATAAAGTGGATTACACTATTTGAAATTTAAATATTATTTTGTAACAATAAATGGTGACTTTTGGCACACAAGTGTGGATGAAAGACATGGACAGATGTGTTGCTGCTGAAAGCTCCCTGTTTGTTTCTGGCAGACTTCTTGCCCATAGTCATCTCTCATTTTCTACTCCAGGGGGAAATTGAGCAAAGTAATTTTGTACTCCAGGACTTTTTTGAGCTGTCTTTTGCATGGTGGTAAAAAGGTTGTTTCTGTTCCAGTAATGCTGTTTTGCACGTAATTCCTTGGATTGAGCCAACATGACTTGTATGTCCAGGCTGGTAAACTGGAAGTTCTGTTGACTATATAGACAAAAAAAAGGAGGTGGTTATAGAAAATCAAACCAGGTCTCCCAAATCAAAATATTCTCTTCAGGAGGGTTGTGGTAACTTACTTCATGCCAGCCATACATGAATTTTTAATCCTTCTTCACCTTGTAAGTGATTAATTTAATAAATTTTCACCTTTAGAAAAAAGGTGAAAACTGCGTAGACAGGTACGTGTTATGACAGTGATGCTTTTTCTTTCCTGCCTTCCCAGGATTAAAAAGTGGCATTGTAGGTTAGATACCAGACAAAGACCTTTGCAGTGAGACTAAAGCTTATGGTTTTGTTTCCAGGTGTTAGTATATTAGATATCTTTAGCTAAAGCAAAGCTACAACTCTGGAGTTGTCACAAGCCTCTTTGCCAAAATAAAGAAAATCTGTTTAATTAGGGAAAAGTATTTGTATCTTTTTCTAAATGCTGATTGTTAATGTTACAAGTAAATGCTGACAATAGCTGCCCCTAGTCAAGCCTATTGAACTTCAGCAGCACCTTTCAGTGATAGTGGGCATGACTTGAGTGCCAAAACTACTTTGCTCTCTTCTCCTTTATTTACTCTTCTTCCTTCTTGGACATTTTCAGGTCAAGTTTTTTGTGACTGGATTTTCTAAGATCACAGAATCATAGAATGTTAAGTGGTTGGAATGGACATTAAAGACCCAAGCTCACTGCATTTACCTGTGAATCAGTAGAAATGCCCAACCTACTGTGAAGCATTTTGTAGCTTACATGTTCCTCATATTGGCCAGGAGGCAACAGTGAGCAGACAGTCGATGTCTGAGATCTTTTCTGCCTCTGGAGGCAACATCTTGGGTGGAGGAAGTTTGTTATGAGATCTCAGCCCCAGGGCCTTTGCAGAGATTGTTTCCTGTTTATTGACCACAGTGTTCCTATTTTTCCAGAGTTGGTAAGTCAATTACCAAAAAAACCAAAAAAAAAACCAGCAACAAAAACAAGCAAACAAAACCAAACCACCAAGAAAAAAAAACACCCTCCAAAAAATAAAGCAAACAAAAAACCCCAAAACAAAAGCCCAAACTGTCTGACAAACTCAGAATCTAACCCCTAACTTTCAGCTTCAAAAAGTGTGTGTAACTGAGATTTTTATGTGTACTTTCATAATTAAAAAAAGTTGAATAGGAGTGTTCGTATATTTAGGATTCAAAAGAAAAAAATTAGGTATTTGTTCTCTCTCTGCATTTTTGGGACTTCTGTAGGAATGCTTAGTACTTTACTAGACTGATGGTTCATTCCCATTTGTATATAAAACTGTAAAGAGCTTCGCTGGTTCCAGTCGCAGCATGATGTATCCTCACATTGTGACTGAACTGAGTGTAATCCTGCTCAGAGGAAACTGACTGTCCTGAGCCTGATGTCTGATGCTCTGGACTGGGGCTGTGACAGATACCTCTGATCCACAACTTCTATACTAGCCTGCTCATCATTGGATGTTTTTCTCATCCCTAAGGGCATGCCACCTAGTGTTTTCTTGAAATAAAATACTTTGAAAAATGTGGATGTGCAAAATGCTGGCTTAAGGACTGGGGTTTTTTTAATATTGATAGTATTACAAAATCCTATTACCTCTTCCCTTTTCTAAAAGAAGATCCTGTGGAATACTTTGTGGAATACTTTATTGAATTCTTCGCAGAGTATCTTAAGCAAGTAATAGCATCCTTAGTCTTGTCTAACCTAGTGTGGTGGTATTGCCTTCTGATTTAACTGAGTAGTAAAACATTAGGGTGGGAGTATACTCTGATGGTGAAAGCCACTTAGGGTGTGTTGGATATGTGAACCCCCCTCAGCTGGATGGTTTGCCTCTATTATTATATAGTGCCCTTAGTGGCATAATTTGTGGTTTATTTGAAATGTAAACAGGCTTATGTGTACCACACATAGGCTGTGAAATTTGGGCTTCATTGAATTAGATCCTTAGTGTGAAAACAACTTACGTCTTATAAGAGGTAAAATATTTTCTGTGGCTTCTCTTTTGGACAGTGATGCTGCTGGCAATCTTTTTATCTCTGTTCTATTTAGGATGCAGTAAAAATGAGGATTTTTGTGCCTGGAATGATTTTCCTGCTTACTTGCTTGGTTGTCTGTGACTTTTTTGTTTGGTTGTCCTGGAAAGATCAGTTCTTCACAAATGTGGAAAACTCAGAGAAACAAATACGTTATGAGAGTCACTGATTTACACGTAGGGATAAGAAAATTGAGTGCATGTTTTTGTTGTCTTGGCTTTTGTTTGGGATAGAAGAAATGCTCCATGGCTTCCCCTCCCCTTGTTTTAGGGGTTTTTTATGAGAAAACTCCTAAAAAGCAAAAAGATATAAGTGAATTTATTTTGAGATTATCTGAACAGGACTATCTTTCAATGTGAAGTAAAAGAGTTCTGCATTAACAAGAGTGTATTAAGATTCAGTGTCTAAAAAGGAGTGGGCAGACAAATGCCTGTCTTTGGACTAGTGAGAGCCATGCAGGATGGGGTGACTAGGAGGCAGCTTTTTATTTAGACTATGAGGGGTAGCAGGAAGGACACAGGACAATATTTTTGACTTTTCTTTGTGGATGCATCTTTGTCTTAATGATGGACGCACTTCTTTGTGGATTGTAGCTGCCAAGGGGACACTGAAGACGACAGTAATGCTGTGCTTGTACCTTCCTTCTCAGGGCATGAAGTGTCAGAGCATGCAGGACCTGGCAGCTCTCTTAATAGAGAATGCTGATGAGACATGTGTAGAGATGTCTGTAAATACATGTTGGAAAGTGGGGGGGGGTGGAATAGTTTGTCCAGGCTAGAGGCCTTGGAGTTGTCTTTTTTTATAAGATAGCATTTATAAGATGTCTGTATTCTATTTAGCCTAGTGCTGCTTAAAAGTGAAATTTAATAAGGTTTTCCTTCTCTGAAGTTCTTTGGATTATTGGGATATTTATGTGGGTAATTACCACCTGGCAGGGGAATAGAAATCTAAGGAATATTTTGTCTAAAGCATTAAATCTGTAGGTTTTCTTCCCACTCCTTTAGAACTTTGCATGTAATAAAAACAGGCTTAATGTGTAATATTCTGCCAACTTCCTGTTGGAATTAATTTGACAAATTCTTTGGCTACAAACACAAGATGTCCTATTTTGCCATCATCACCTAGTTGACTTCTCTACTGTAGACAGTTGTGTAATGAGAAGAGCTAGTTAAGACTTCAGTAGAAGAGTGAACACTAAGCATTCAGCTTTACAAATGCCAAAAAAAGTGCTGTATAGCAAGGGAAGACTTGAAAATGAGGGGTGTACTCCAAGTTCATTAGCATTCTTTGAATCATTGTCATTAAAACTTGGCATTACACAGTGTGATTTCACTTGGTGTCTTGAACCACTACTTAGATTTACAGTAAGATTCATTGTAAAGGTAGCTTTACATCTATCCTCTAACTTAACTCTTCAGTACCTGAACTCTTTAAGAAATTTTACCAGTGATAGTACTCTTGAAAACACTTCAAACACTTAATGGAAGTGTTTAAAAGGAAAATAACAAAATACTGAAAAAAAGATAGATGCTGGTTTGATTTGAGATCAGTGTAACAGATAAAAAAGATTGAGATTGCTCCTGACTTCACCATTGATACTTGAAGAGAAAAATTTTAGTAGTGTCCCTTTTTAGTAGTATTTTTTTGATTA